CACACACACACACACACACACACACACACACACACACACACACACACACATACGTGTCAGTGCGAAACGAGAGAGGGGGAAAATTACAGGACTGTGTGTATTTTTCCAGAATTATTGAAATCCACCTTGATGCTAATGGCAGATCATGTCCGCCAAAGTGCTTGAACATTTCGCGCGCACACACACAGTGACACACAAATTTGCATGTGAATTCAAGCAAAAGGCATTTGGTGGCACGATAGTTGGTGTGTTCATCTGTGTGTGTGTGCGTTGGGATGTGTATAGGCAGCGTTCGACGCATTCGCCATTAGCCAGAGTGCGCATATAGAGGCAAGGCTTGTCAGCCACATTAGCACACATGGCTAACCTTGATGTTAGCCTGTCCCCCCACCCAGACGCTGGTCCTCCTGGCTCCCAGCACCCACCAGGCCCAGCTGAAGATCACGTCTCCTGGCATCTCACTTTATTTCCACCTGCTTTAATGGCTCCATTGTTTTTGCCCCTAGTATGAAAGCTTCCCACCCCTCCTCTACCGCCGAATTTCCTTTATCCTTCTGACTTTATTTAGATCACATTTTTACAACCATTTTGTCACAATCTTTTTTTCCTCTTCAAACCAATGAATTTTGCTCTTTCTCACTCTTTATATGAATATACCATTTAAACATTCATTTTGTTCATGAGTTGTAATTGTACTGTATATTTTTTCTCTTAAAAAACTGCTGTTCATAAACAATAAAACTGTTTTACACCAAGTTTGCATAAAATGTATTAAACTTGAATCTTGAGAGAGTGAGATTTCTAATGAAAATGCACAATAAAAAGAAATAAAAGATTCTTAAGCATTTTTTCACTGCACATAATGAGGCCAGAGTTTCCTAGTTTAAGTAGTTTTAACCGTTATCACGGGTTGATTCTGTAAGACAAACCTTTTAATTTTTATATTTTTTGCCAATTATATTTAATAAAATGCATGTATCTTTGGTATATTTCATGTTAGAATCACTGAAATCTGTTCTGGGACTCACTGAACCTACAAAAAGTATCCAGATGGGCTTCAAGAGGCTAAACACAGCTTTCATCTCCCCTTGCTTCTCTCTTTTGGCTTTAATAAATACTCCTTTATCAGTGAACATCTCTTTGACCTGACCTTGCCCTCTTCCTCAGTCTGCCCAACCTCTCCACTTTAGTAAACACAACTTGTTTTGTCTTTTCCTGGACCTGGACTCCTCTTTAGTGCTCGTGGGTGCTTCTGTAAAGAGACATCCCCAGCAGTCAAGTCATGGAACATTACATGAACCATTGGGCTGTGTGATGTTTTGTTTACCTGGCCTGTCTGCCTCCCCGTCTCTTGGTGTGTATGTGTGTGGAGTCTGGCTCGCTGTGCTGGCCGTGATGCTCGGCTGAGCTGATGGATATGCATACTAGCTCAATGGATGGGTAAAGGGAGAACGCCATGGGGTAGGTTTTGATGGCAGACGTAGGGATGTTAGCTAGTGTAGCTCCATTTGGACAGATCAGCTCCAAGCCATTGGTCTCAGTGATTAACGGGTCTGTCCAACGATGATGGAGAGAAGGAGGCATGGAGAGACAGAATCGGATAGAAAAAACTTTTATCCCTGAAAGGATAAACAGAGCAGACTTGACCACAGCCACAGGTGATCTTATTATGTAGATGTCGTTTATGTTGATGGCTCCATCATTGAGTGTGTTTTTTCTGGAAACTCTTGAGTAATTATTTTCGAAAAATGTTTTGTTTTAGTGATATCTTTGCTTTGTAATTTCCACTTCAGCTGTTTTGGGTCTACTTTGTATTGGCTCAGTTATAACTACATACATTTATAAACCCCCACTTTTCAGTACCCACTCTATGGATGTTTGACTTACTTTTGATGTTTTTGTTTGATATTAAACATTCTGACACTTTCCAGACAGTGAGGACTGATGGCTGCAAACTATCTTTCAAATAATTTTGTATGAATAATTATATTCATGTCCTAACCTGGATGGATTGCAGTCACTGTTTCTTCACGTTTTATCTTCATGATCTCATAAGCAACTTTTAAACATGCACCTTACCTTCTTATCTAACATTTCATGTGCTCTTGTTTGTATACTGCCTGGCCAAAAAAACAAAAGTCACCACCTGGATTTAACGAAGCTAATAGGTATGAGCCTCCTATTTGATAATCACTGCATGGGTGATTATCTTTCAGCTGGCAACAAGTTATTTAACCCCAACTGGTGCAATGAGTTTCTTCTCATTTCTTAAACAACCATGTCAAAAGACATGCTGGGGTCGTAGAAAAGATTTGTCTGTTTGAGAAGGGTCAAATCATTGATATGAATTAAGTAGAGAAAATCTCTAAGAAGATTGCAGAAACTACAAAAATTAGATTAAGAAATGTCCAACGCGTTACTAAACACTGAAAGGATAGTGGGGACCCATCGTCTTTGAGGATGCACCCATCATGCCCAGTGTTTGCCCTACCATTATAC